CCTGCTGTTGTAATGTGAAAGCAGTCACAGACAATATATAAACAAATGGGCATATCTGTATTCCAATCAAGTTTTTACAAAAGCAGGTGTTAGGATTGTAACCTGTAGTTAGCTGACCTCTGACCTAGAACAAATAACACTTCCCGAAAAGCCTTTCCTGATACCCATCACAATCAGTGGCTTTATCATGGCTGGCTCACATATTACTAGTAAATCCACTTAGCACATTTACAATCTCTTATTACATATTCATCTCCATTAGGGACTAAGTTCTTTATAGGTAGGTATCATTTTGCTACATAAGCCTCCTCATCTTCACTCTGACGTTCAATGAATATCTGTTTCTAAAAATCAAATCTACCCTAAAAGGAAGATATGACACCATTCATAATATTCACAAGAATGAGCAGCAAGTTCTAAAATTAATTTTAAAGTTTAAGGGGGAGAAAGCACTGCTATGTCACTAGGATCCATACATTGCCTCTTACGCTCTATACTGTGACATGCTTATCAGTATTTTATAATCATACCTTGTGTGCATAGAAGTGCAAACTCAGTGAGCACAGAAATGTCTCTTTTTTTTTTTCAAGCTACTAGAGTATCTAGAGTACTATTAGGTTTACATTAGGTGCATGATAAATACTCAACAAATTTAAACATACTCTGGGGTTGGGGAGAAGATTTCCTTTTATTCTTTTTTTTGATACAGGGTCTTGCTCTGTCACCCAGGCTGGAGTACAGTGGCATGATCTTGGCTCATTGCAACATCCACCTCCCAGGTTCAAGCAGTTCTCGTGCTTCAGCCTTATAAGGCGCTGGGATCACAGGCGTGTGCCACCATGCTGAAAAGGTAGCAGCAAATACTTTTGAAGACTATTTTCAAAAGTAAATAATTATGAAACCTCAGTAAGTACATTTCCCTCCTCACATTTACTTTCTTAGGAAGCACGGAGGGGTGGAGGCTTCTCTGCCTGCAATGGAATTCCAGATTCTAAAGCAAAGTTGCTTGTGGGACAAAGGAAAAAGATACATACATATCTTCTATAGAAAGTATCCCAAAACCTCAGGAGCACTCAGGAAAGACATAGAATTTAGGATAAAGGCAGACCCTGGTAAGCACACAGTTCAGATCATTAGAGAGCTTTGACTGCTACACAACAGGAGATAGGAGGGAACAATGTCGGAGGGCACACACAGGAGAGCCACTGTGAAGTGCACACTACTCCCAGACAGACATCCTCCTGAAAGAGAAGTTAGCACTAAGATAAGAGCAGGTAACAAGGAAGAAGGGGAATTAAGGTGAGAGAAAGGCAAAAAGCAGAGGGGAAACCTTCACAAAAAAGGGAGTAATGTTGAATTAAAATTTAGAGAGTTGAGTAAAAGGTTTATTATTAGTGCAGTCAACACCATGGAACAGCACATACAACACGACCAGCAACCTGCAGAGACACTAGTGCAAAGGGTAGGGAAGCCTTTCACTGAGCTTCCTGGCTCCATCTGAGGGTAAGGACTGGAGAGTATGAGCCTTGGTAAGGCAGGTAGGGGAAAGGAGAGTGGAAGAAATGTAGTAACCAGAATAAGTACAGCAGCGTTTTCAAATTCCTGAGCACAATGTCCCGGAGCTGGAATCCTGCTCCCCTCAATCTGTATCCCTCTACCCCAGTCCCAGTGGAGCCATGATCCAACTACCCAGACCTGCAGCAAGCTAGCCTGGAATAAAACTTTGAGAAGAGAAGAAGCTGTTACATGGTAGGGAGGAGCCTTTCTATCTCCAACCACATTCTCACCCACATATTAAAATAATCACACCTACTATTCCTCCCCTTCTCTTACCCTGCCAGTCACTCTAGGAATCAAGGTATGTCCTAGGTAACCTGAAATGGTACTGAAGTCCCCAAGGGGGTGTGGGTGAGGCACAGCACAGCCTGTACTTAGAGACAAAGATAAAATTTCTATCTGATTTGCATGGTGAAGCTTAGAACCCAGCTATACAGCCCCAAGGAAACTTGGGGAAGCGAGTGTTGCCTTCAAAATGAATACTCTAAACCCAGAGTTTTATGATGAGGTCCTAGAAGGGCTAGAAGGAAATTTTTCCAGAGGGCACAGGCATAGATGCTGGACTGTCATCTCCTTCACAGGAATAGAGGAAGCTCCTGATTTCAGTTGCGGATACAGAAGTTTGGGGCAGATATGGTAAGTTCAGCCAAGGACTCCCTTGGCTCTTCCTATATTAAAGCCAAAGATTGTGCTGAAAAGGAAAAATACAAAACACACCCCCATCCCTGTCCCACCCTATCCAGAATCCCCACAATAGGAACATCAAAAGAAAAGCTTTAAGTTTGATTTATTTTCCTTTTGCCCTTCCTAAAAAAACAAAAAAAGGAAGTAAATAAATTAAATTGCCAACAATGTGGCTGGGATAGCCATGATCAGGCCATTCTTAAAAAAAAAAAAAAAGTGGGCAGTAGGTAGGGTTTACGGAATATAAACAAACAATGGCAAAAGGAAATTATCAAAATAACTAACTCTAGTCACAGGGCTAGAGAGGGGTCTATGGAACAATTATGGCTCATGCCACAAGAGGCAGTGCCGACCAATTTTAGCAAAAGCTAGACATAGCTTCTTGCTGAACACATCAACCCCAACAGACTAACCCCTACCCTAAACCCTGGCATTCTCTAATTATGAAAACTTGTAGGAAAGAAGAGCTCATCTGGAAATGTTCAATATCCCAGCCTGCATACTGGTAGACCAGGTGGGAACCTGCACCTTTAAGGTGGGCTGAACAAGGATACTGCTTGGCACAGAGGTCCAGTCTTTCCCTAAGGGCCATCAGTGATGGCCAATTATTGGCCTCACTACATATTTCTAGAGATTTGGCGCCACCCTTACCATTTCTTCAGGATGTCTGCTACTTAGAGTCAACAGGCCTGCCTGCTCTGGTTCCCTGGTTTTGGAGGAGACAGACGATTAGAGATTCCTCACTCTGCCCTCATCCTCCAGAGAAAATGAATCTCTTTGTGCTTTCTGAAAATATCTCGAACCAGGGACCCTAAGCAGGAAAATGGATGGAAGTGGGGGCTTTCCCACCCAAACTGATAATTTATAGACATTTTAGGGGAATATGGCAAGGGGAGGAAATCTGGGTTTCCCACCCGAAAGGCTGAGCAAAGTACCCCAGAGCCCTTCAGTGCCAGAAGAGCAGGGAGATGTGTGGCTCAGCTATAAGCCACAATATTAAGGATAATGGGGAGGACTCAGGTCCCAGCTGCTGGAATGATGGGATTCTCTGATTTCCATCTCTTCCTGATAGCCAGTCGAGTTCTATATTTCTTCCACGCCATGCGCAAATATCATGACAAGGCCTGGCTCTTGCACCATGTCATCACCCATATGCTGGTTCTCACAGGCCATCACGACAACAGCCTGCTTGCCAGGGATGCGCTTGGCCACGTAGTTCTCATAGTAGCGTCGGTTCATCTGTCTAGTCTCTAGTGTGGCCAGACCCTGGGGCCAGCTAC